GAGGGTTCGGATCCCACATGCAGACCGGTTCCCGCTCACTGGCTGAGCGAGGAGCGGGGGCGGCACCTAGGGTTGCGATCCCGTTGCTGGTCCCGGTCCAGTACGGGCGCGACACTGAGGGTTGCAATCCGTTGCTGGTCACGAAAAAAGACAAAAAGACAAAAAAAAAAAAAAAAGAAATAGGCCTGCTGGTAAAACAGACCACTGTTCTCATTACTGTTCCAACAAAAATAAAAACAAACCAGCTTGTCATCTTACAGAAGTAATTTTAAAACTCCCACACTTATTTCCAAAATAAACCTTGACACTTATTGTTGATAAAGATCAGTTTAAAAGAAGTTTAATGATTCTGTTTGATATGTCAATATAAAATGTTATTCCCCCCAAAATCACTGGCTGCCATATGTTCATGTACTGAGATGTGCCCATTCAGTTTCAGGTTATAAGAATTCACCTTTACAAAGCATTTCATGTAATGCCCCCATTTCAACTTATGAGGTATTTCCTCACATTATGAAGATCAGTTTGGATTTCTCTCATCTCACAATTAGCTTAGTGCTGGGAAAGACAGCCCTCATGTGGTTGTCTTTGAAGCTGTATAGTTGGCACCTGCATTTTGCTAGTCTCTACCAGTGATAATCTCATGCCTCATCTAAATGGTTTTCATTTATTTCTTCCATTTTTCCTATTCTGTCTGAAGTTTGTGTGTGCGTGCATTAAAGATTCCATTACATACAGAATCATGTATTTTCTCTGTGAGCACCGTCTAAGTATACAATAAGTAACAGCTATAAAAGTGCTATGATTGGCAAGGAGACAGCCATTACTTGAAAATAATTAATAATAAAGGAAACTGTCCTGTTTGTGGACAATGATATCTAACTAGTGATGTAACTATGTCCATTTTAATGGGATTTGATGTTGTTTCAACATAAACAGATGTTCATTCTGAAAGATCAGAAATGTTTTTAATTTTTCCTACTGAAATGGATAATTATATCTTCAACTTGCAAGAGCTCATCTTACAATAGTTTTGACAAATGTGCGTACACATGCAACCACCATGACCCCAAAGGTTCCCCTGTGACCCTTTTCTGTCTATCCTCCCTTACACTCCCAGTGAACCAATGATCTGCTTTCCATCATTATAAACTAGATTTGTCTTTCCTAGAGTTTCACATAAAACAACATATATTCTTTTGTGTAAGGCTTCTTTCACTTAGTCTAATGTCTATGAGAGAGGTCATCAAATGTTTTCTGTAAAGGGCCAGATATGAAATATTTCAGGATTTGCAGGCCATATGCAGTATCTCTGACCCTTTTTAAAATACTTTGTTTTTTTAAAACAATCTTTTGAAAATGCAAAAACCATTCTTAGCTGAAGGAATGTACAAAAAAAGAGTATGATAGATGTTTCAGGTGCACTTCAAAAAAATAACTCATTATTAGATGGCGTATTCAATAAATAGCAATTAGGTTAATAGTGTTTATATCTTCTAATTCCGACAATATTTTTTTTTATCTACCTGTTCTACCAATTATTAATAGAGGGGTATAAAAATCTCCAACTATAATTGTGGATTTTTCTTTCTTTTTTCTTATAAAGATGACCAGTAAGGGGATCTTAACCCTTGACTTGGTGTTGTCAGCACCACACTCTCCCAAGTGAGCTAACTGGCTATCCCTATATAGGGATCTGAACCCTTAGCCTTGGTGTTATTAGCACTACACACCCCCAAGTGAGTCACAGGCTGGCCCTAATTGTGGATTTTTCTACTTTTTCCTTCAGTTCTGTCAAGTTTGCTTTGTATATTTTGAGATTCTGTTTCAGTTGCATACACATTTAGGAACAATATGCCTTCTTGAATAACTGACCCCTTTGTCATTGTAAAATACCCCTTTGTCCTGGTAATTTCCCTTGTTCTGAAGTTTACTTTGTCTGATAGCAATTAATATAGCCACTCCAACTTTTGGTTAGTATCTGTACGGGAAATTATTTCTTGATCCTTTTACTTTTAAACCTATTTGTATATTACAATTGCAGTGAGTTTCCTATAAACAGCATTTAATTGGGCCTTGAATTATTATTATTATTATTATTTTTTTTTGCTTTTTGTCTTTTTTCGTGTCCGGCAACGCATCACAACCCTCAGTGTCGCGCCCGTACCGGACCGGGACCGGCAACGGGATCGCAACCCTCGGTGCTGCGCCCGCACCTCGCTCAGCCAGTGAGCGGGAACCGGTCTGTATGTGGGATCCGAACCCTCGGGCGGGAGCGCCGC